AAATCTTTTTGGCGTTTTACATAAAATGAGATGAATATACTGTATGTTCTTAATACTTCTAAAGCGAAAGATGTCTATGGTGTGGATAATACAATGTTGAAAGAATTTGGTTCATCATTGATTATCCCCTTCACAAAAAAAGGAATTCGATCTCTGTGGGGGAATTCCCAAATGCTTGGCAATTAGCTATTGTTTCCCCTTTATTAAAATCAGGAGATAGACAAATTATTTCCAACTATAGACCTATTAGCATTGTGCCAGTGATATCGAAGGTTTTAGAAAAATGGCTGTCTCAACACATTAGGGATCACTTGAATAACTCAGTATTTTCCCTTCATCCATTACAATTTGGATTTAGGTCAAATCAATCCATTGAGACAGTAAACTGTTTGTTTTTTTTTTAAATTGAAAATATTAAATCATTGCTTGATAGGAACAAGGTTGTTGGAGCTATTTTTTTTTAGATCTTAGGAAAGCCTTTGACACTGTTAATCACATATTTTACCGTCTAAACTCTCTCATTTAATTTTTCAGATAAGGCTCTAAAGTGGGTAGCATCTTATCTTTTTCAACGATCACAAACTGTACGTATTGGCAGCTATCAATATGAACATCTACATGCCACAAGGGTCTATACTGGGCCCCCTTTTGTTTTGTATGTATATTAATGACTTGCCGCATGCATGCCCAGAAGTGAGAGTTCAAATGCATGCAGACTACAACGTTTTATATATGTACATGGAACATCAAAAGCAGCAGTGGCATCCAAACTTACAAATGCTATGGTTAAAATTAGAGACTGGTTAAACCACATAGCCTTCAGTGAAATCTTTCCAAAACAGTTGGTATGTTTTTTTAGCAAAACCACCAACTCTGCAGTTGATCCAGACATTTTTATTACCGGTGAAAAAAAATCCAAATTGTTTTCAAAATTAAATATCTTGGTATTATCATTGACTCCAAACTTAAATTAATTAAATGTTATTTTCTTAACAGTTTTTGAAATCTGAGAATTAAACTTATCTAATTTTCGATATATCAGGAATTCAATGTCTACCCAAGCTGCCAAAATGTTTATGCACTCTATGATATTTTCACATATGAGTTATTGTCTAACTACTTGGTCTAAGGCCAACCACTCTGCCTTGCTTCCAATACAGACTATATATAAACAAAAACTAAAAATGTTTGATAAGAAACCACGTAATTTTCATCATTGTAAGATTTAATCAAAACATAATTGGTTGAGTTGGGAAAACTTTGTTTTCAAATGGCTGTTTAGCTTATGAAATTCTTAATGGCCTAGACCCACCACCACTTAGAGAGTTTCTGAGTTTAAGATCGGATAACAGTTGTCTCACTAGAGCTGCACTTATAAGAGACCGTGTTATTAATTTCAGGAAAACTGCTTTTAGTCAGTCTGCATTCTCTATTAAAGCCTCTAAAGAATGGAATGACATCCCAACGTCAGTTAGAGAATTAAAAAGTTATAATGGATTTCGTTCTTCTTTTAAAACTTTTTAGCATGCAAATGTGTCAACATTGTTTTATTTCTTTTTGGGGGGGGGGATTTTCTGTGGTTTTTGAAATTATTTGTATTTTGTCATGTTTTGATTAAATTATTGTATTAACATTGTATTTTTAGGTTGCCTACTGTACATCTGGCCTAGGACTGCAAAACTAGACTTTTGGCTAACACTGGCATATTTTGACTTGTTCTGTTAATATGCATTGTCCCTGTAATAATAAATTAAATTTTATTTGGTTTTAGACATCTACATATATGCATACAAAATCTGCTGATTGTGCATGAACATACTTTTAGGATGAAATGCAGTTAATCCAGATATTTACTTGTCCTCAATTCTGGTGGCTAAAACATCGTAGTAGCCTACATGTAAATCAAAAAAACCCTATGATTTTTCATATGGGTCTATAAATAAGCAGTTAGAATTCCTTTATGTCAGACTGATCTCATGAAGTAGCGTGTGTATGACACGCCAATTCGTGTTTCCATTTTTGGCGTGCTATCAGGACGCATAATCGGCTTTCAGCGTGTTTATGAACGCCGTTGACTTAACGTTATATAAATATTTGACTTACCTCAACCCCGTCCCTAAACCTAACCGTCACTGCGGTTAATGGCATTTATGACTGTTCCCTAACCATAGGTAAAAAAAGATATGACTTACCTCAACCCCATCCCTAAACTTAACCGTCACTGGGGTTAGCATTTATGACTGGAGATTTGACTGCGTGTACAGACACGCGGATACACGCAGTTAGTTCAAAATGCGTAGAGATAACACGCCACCTGACTCGAAAGTGGCGTGTATGTTTACGCAAAAGTCATGATGTCATGTTGTTTATGTAAACAAATAGGAGTGGGGGAAATTCGCATTGTTTCTCAGAAGTCTGTCTTCTGCACGGCATAGTACATTTACGTCGCTCAATCACACTCAGCATAAAAGGCCCTTAACACTGTGGAAAAAGGATAGATCTTTCTTTTAGAAGCACTCGTTCCCACCCACTTGACCTGGCTGCAAGCAAGCAAGCATTAGATGACATGGCTCTGAGAGTGACAAGAATCTCAGGTATCTGATTGGTGTAACAAAGCCATCTAATCCTCAAGCAAGGCAATAAGACGTCACATCCAATGAAAAGGGTCTGACATCATGCTGGATAAACCAGTCAGAAAAAGGTTTGACAATGTTTAACCTACTTTTCAAGTTATACTATCCCTCCCTCTTTAAATTTTAAAAACCTCTTGTATGAAACAAGCAAAAGGACCTTCTGTTTTTTTATGAACCAAACACAATACAGCTGAATGAAACTGAAACAAGATAAAACTGCACCTACAAATTACAGCTGAATGATTGAAACTCCCTCAAAGAGTCAGCAAGCATTGAGACGGACAACATAGTGTGTTTATATACTTCTAGACTTACACTCACCGGCCACTTTATTAGGTACCCCATGCTAGTAACGGGTTGGACCCCCTTTTGCCTTCAGAACTGCCTCAATTCTTCGTGGCATAGATTCAACAAGGTGCTGGAAGCATTCCTCAGGGAGTTTGGTCTATATTGACATGATGGCATCACACAGTTGCCGCAGATTTGTCGGCTGCACATCCATGATGCGAATCTCCCGTTCCACCACATCCCAAAGATGCTCTATTGGATTGAGATCTGGTGACTGTGGAGGCCATTTGAGTACAGCGAACTCATTGTCATGTTCAAGAAACCAGTCTGAGATGATTCCAGCTTTATGACATGGCGCATTATCCTGCTGAAAGTAGCCATCAGAAGTTGGGTACATTGTGGTCATAAAGGGATGGACATGGTCAGCAACAATACTCAGGTAGGCTGTGGCGTTGCAACGATGCTCAATTGGTACCAAGGGGCCCAAAGAGTGCCAAGAAAATATTCCCCACACCATGACACCACCACCACCAGCCTGAACCGTTGATACAAGGCAGGATGGATCCATGCTTTCATGTTGTAGACGCCAAATTCTGAGCCTACCATCCGAATGTCGCAGCAGAAATCGAGACTCATCAGACCAGGCAACGTTTTTCCAATCTTCTATTGTCCAATTTCGATGAGCTTGTGCAAATTGTAGCCTCAGTTTCCTGTTCTTGGCTGAAAGGAGTGGCACCCGGTGTGGTCTTCTGCTGCTGTAGCCCATCTGCCTCAAAGTTCGACGTACTGTGCGTTCAGAGATGCTCTTCTGCCCACATTGGTTGTAACGGGTGGTTATTTAAATCACTGTTGCCCTTCTATCAGCTCGAACCAGTCTGGCCATTCTCCTCTGACCTCTGGCATCAACAAGGCATTTCCGCCCACAGAACTGCCGCTCACTGGATGTTTTTTCTTTTTCGGACCATTCTCTGTAAACCCTAGAGATGGTTGTGCGTGAAAATCCCAGTAGATTAGCAGTTTCTGAAATACTCAGACCAGCCCTTCTGGCACCAACAATCATGCCACGTTCAAAGTCACTCAAATCACCTTTCTTCCCCATACTGATGCTCGGTTTGAACTGCAGGAGATTGTCTTGACCATGTCTACATGCCTAAATGCACTGAGTTGCCGCCATGTGATTGGCTGCTTAGAAATTAAGTGTTAACGAGCAGTTGGACAGGTGTACCTAATAAAGTGGCCGGTGAGTGTATAACTTAATGAACTTCTCAACTCATTTAATTTCCATAGGCTAATGTGACACATTTCCATAAGAAACAGGAAAGCAAGAAAGCAAGCAAGAAAGAAAGAATCTTTTATATGTTTTTTTATCATCTTTACATTGGTTTGGCTCTTTCAAAATGAATTTAAATTGTCTTTTTGCATTGTAAGTTAACATTGCAGTATTATTATTTGCATAATGTTATTAAATATTTTGATTATTATTTGATTAAATAAACAATTGTTTGGGGGACTATTAATGAACAAACTTTGAATTGTTGATCACAACAACAACAACAACAACAACAACAACAACAAAAAGTTGTCACATAGTTGTGGGGTCTGTATTTTATTGTAATGTAACTTTGCAAATTTGTGCATATTAAAAACGTTTATGTCAGCCACGCATAAATAAAGCAACGTTATCTTTGTAAATGGTTAAACGTGTAGAAGAAGAAAAACATTTATGGCAATGTAAATAACTTATGCAAATAATACGAGACTAATCTCAGTGTGTGACTGTCTAACAAGCACAATTCAGTAGGCTGTGTTCTCACGAGGGGAAATCTATTAACGTTACACCTGTAGTAGGCTCCCAAACAGACTCCAAAACTAACTTAAACCCAGGACAGTAACAATACGGGATATATATATTTTTTCATCGTGTCAACAGCACCACTGCGGAGGGTTTTCACTCACTCAGACAAACAAACAAACACACCTGCACAGTCGAGCGCTTACATCGGTGATCAAATAGCTATAGACTGGATGTCTCATGAGTGTTTAGTAGCTAGTACTATTATAATCAATGTACTACTTTACCATTTCGTCCTCGTCACTGTCCCCTTCGTTTTCTCCTTCATCTTGGTCATCCCCATCTCTTGCTTTTATCTCGTCGCAGCATTCAGCGGAATCATTTCCCTTCACTTTTTCGTCAAGAGCTACAAAATCTGAGGAGTGACATTGAAATTCCTCAAATTGTAATTCGGGCTCATTCGTCTCGGCTCGCGCCTCGCCTTCTGACAGCGTGTCGGAGCCTGATGAACCGTCTCCACCGCCGCCTCAAATGTTTCTGACTGCTCACTCTCCATTTCCCTAAAACATCTCGGTAATTGTCTTAAACTAATGACATGCTGAAGGACAACTTATCTCAGCTCCAGCTTAGCGCCCGATATAACTTCCCTCATTGTGCTGCTGTAATTTGAACGGACATTAGTGTTACTCAGCCTTTTTAAAGTAAAGTTTGTAATGCAGCACTGGAGCGCGTCCTGCTCAACTCATCGCTGCAGTGTCTTTAACTGAAGTCTGCGCTCATTGGCTGACCAAACCCCGCCTATCAGCCAATGAGAAAAGAGCGCGCTGGTCAAGTCCTTTTAAATCAATGGCGCACTATTGACCCTTGAGCTCTCAAAAAACATTTGTCCAAAGAACACGGACAGTAGGGCTGCCAAAAAAAAGCATGAGTAGGACAGTATCGTTTTATTTTAAAAAAAAAAAAAAAAAAAAAGGACACTGGCTATTTTTATATCACACATGCCAAGTCATATTTACAAGTAAATAAGTAAATAAATAAAAAGATAATACACTGTAAAAAAATATATATGTTTTCAAGATTTGTTTTTTTTCTACATTTTTTCTACATGACAACATTTTTCTTTTGTCAAATCAACTTAACTAATTTATTTAGTTGAGATAACTTATTATTTTGAGTTTTGATGATTCTGATGATTAAATTAATCTCCATTGTATTAACTCATTTTTTCTAGTTCAATCAACTTAATTTTTTTTTTTTTTTTTTACAGTGTACAATAGTTGCTGAGTAAACACGTTGGAAGAGATGTGTTGACTTGAAACATTACGGAAAGCTGAGAACTGTAAAAGATGATATAACCATGCAAGCAATTTTGTGTTTAAAAGACGTCTAATAAATGTCCAAACACAGCCCAGACGTCTAAGCTAAAACAAGGCAAAATGTGGCTGTCAGTGAAAATTTAATAGACGTCTAAACCATAGCCCAAGAATTGACTAGTCATCAATTAGATAACAAGGAAATGAAATGGTTGAAGAAATGAAATCAAACACCTTGTAATCACTGTTTACTTTGCTTCCATGATGAAACATCTTTTATTTTTGCAAGTTATTAGGTCAAAAAAACGACATGTACAGTATACAAATTCGAGGTTATTTTGGTTAGAAGTGGGTTAATAGCTATTAATATTAATAGCTAAAACTATCGGGTCTCTAGATGATGAAATGGCGGCTGCTTGCTGAGAACCTTTGTTTTAATATGTCAGTTCAAAAGTGTGATGTAGCCTATAAGTATAGGAACAGCTTGAGAAAACAATGGTAAAGTTAATCTCTCACCTTTAATGATTTGCTAAAAACAAAAATGTAGTTTTGATGCCATCTAATAATGATAGAAACAAATTATTTACATGGTTTTAAAGATATAGCTGTGATTTTATTGTGCACCATATGCATGCATTTAAATTGCTTAACATAATATTAAATATATATTTTTTTTCTAAATGTCAATCATTTGTTAACAAACAAGTGTTCTCTACTTCAATGAACTCAATGTTTCTGCATTAAATTATTACATTGTTTAAATTAATACCTTTTTTTCTAACTGTGATTTTGATCATATATGATCATAAGTCATTTTATTTCTGGTCAACCTGTCTATATATATATATATATATATATATATATATATATAATGTTTGTTTTTCCCCCTTTTTCAAAAGTATTTACTATAATATACAAAAATTGTCAGTTTTGTATAGCTGAATGATACTGTGTATCAAATTGAGCTTTTCAGATACAGATTTCAATAGGTAAAACTTTACTGAGAAAAGTCAATACTATCGTACCAATTCTGTCGTTTTTTTTTTGTTTGTTTTTTATTTAGCAAGTCATGTGCATTCAGTTATTGTGCAAATTATAGACAATAGGATAGTAACTCTCTTGCACACGTGCCAACACATGTAGTACTTTAATTCAAATCTGATGTGAAAAAGAAACTTGTCCAGTGATCTGAACTCATTGTTCTGAGAAAAGTGAACAAGTACTGCATAATATCTTACGCTCTGGGAAACACCTCTTTCCTATTTCCTCTTTCCAATATGGAAGCCAAAAA